GTACGGTATCTGTAAAGAAGAATGAAAAGAATGAGAAACACGAAATGAAAGTCGTTCAGAACGTGAAAATACGATGTGAACGACTAAAATGAGACGAAAGCAGAACAAAGAATGTAATGAAAGAAGAAGAACATAAGCCATACATGTTTTAGTAGTACAGAATGTATTATGATATATGACATGAATGCATATATGGGTATGCATAATTATTGCATCTGTTATGACCTATTGATACTTGCTGAGCGAAAGCTCATTAAGTTTGTTCGTGTTGTAGGAAGCTCGGGTTAGGCATCGGCTCCCTAAAACTTGTTGTTGGGCATGCAGAGAGGATGCAGCAGTGGAGTGTGGGCAAGTGGGTTGTGGATGCATCACGTGTTTTGGAAACGCTGCTGAACATTATGTGTAAAATAAAATAGTGTTTTATGTATTTTGATTACTAATGTAACAAAATGCCGTCAGAATGCTACAGCATTTTAGGTATGACTAATATAACAGAATGTTGTCAGAATGCTACAACATTTTGACAATGACTAATGTATAGAATGCTATTAGAATGCTACAGCATTTTACAAATACTTGAAAACAGAAGGCTAGCTAAATGCTACAGCATTTAGACGTACATGGAAAAAAAAAGTTGGCCTGAATTTTAAGAGGTTATAATTAGTAAGTGTTAGAGGTTAAGTAATGTTAAGTATGAGTATAGGATGATGACGGAAAGTTAGGGTCGTCACAGAAACATAATAAAAAGTAAGCAAACGGCATCACCTTCAGTTTTCTCGATATCTTCACAAGGCACAAAAAATATATATTTACCAAAATCTCACGCTATACTTGTTGTGGTGTAGAGTTGTCAAACGTGCCATGTCAGGTCGGCACGGCATGTCCGACCCCAGGTTTGTGGCGGGCCTAGGCTGTGCCTGGCACGGCCTTGCATAGTTCAGGACCATCCCAGGGTCGAGCTTGAGGAGAAACGTTCAAGCCTGCGGCCCTAGTCCATAAGGGTCAAGGTCGGGCCTGGGCCCAGGTCCTTCACGGGCCGGCCCTGACCCGTGTAATTTTTTTTTGTAAATTTAATAAAAAAAAAAGAAAATATATCATATGCCCCCAAAAGATGTTATTTTATTGAATTGAGATAATACGAATAAGTATACAAAAATGACTGCCTCGTTAAGAACCTTGCTAAGTAAAACCCATAAGGAGATCGGGACAAAACCTTAGCGTAGGAAAAAAGAGTGCAGTATTCTAGGATAAGTAAATTACAAAACCTAAGTGCTTCCAGAAGATTCTGTTATTTCTAAGTTAGAAAAATAGTTTTGCATTGAATCATCCATGTATTGTTGTTTTCGTCTTCTGGCATCTTCCCAGTCTTTAACGCACATTAGCCCCTCCAAGATATCTGGATGCATTATGATTCTCTTCTCATCAAGAATTCGGTTGCTTGCACTAAATGCTTGCTCTGATGCTACCACTGACACTGAAGTTATCAAAATGTCACGAGCTATTATGGACAGTGTTAAAAAACGATCGGTCTTGCTCTTCCACCACTATAAGATGTCCAGTTTGTCATCATCAATTAAAAAATTTTCTTCAAAATAATTTACTAGTTCGTTAGACGCTTGTGTTGATGACAATCCTGCCATTTTCTCTTTCTTCTTCAAGAAACTCTATGATGAGCCTTTAGGCCCCGAACTGCTACTTGACATCAACGTTCCCTATTCTTTTTTACCTATGTTGTATTTTGCTTTATACAAACCAAATAACTTTTCTAACATTTTCCTAGCGTTAGTAATAGTTAGTTGCATATCAATACCTAAATTTTCTGCTGTAGCAGTCATCAAAGATTCAGTCCCATCTACTCCGCACCTAGGATCTAAAATGGTTGCTATAACATAGGAAAACCTGACTAATAACTTTTAAATTTAGTTTCCATTAGCTTACCTATGTTTCCAAAAAGTTTAATATCCCTATAATAAGAAAATATTTCTGAAATATTAAATAGTTGATGTAAAGCTAAATGTGTAATATGATAATAAACTCCGGAAAGTAATTCAGTAGCATTGTAGAAAACTTCTAGAAATTTAAAAAAATACTCACCAATCTGCTAATCTGTATCGAAAATTTAAATTTGATCATTCTTACTGTTTACATACGTTGTGATGAGCTGTGAATACGGGAGTGCAGCCTTCAACATTAAATAGGTGGAATTCTACCTATGTCTTACGTCAGTTGGGAACTTTCTTAGGCACATCTGAGTGTTCCTGCAATATTATTTGAATTCTTAGAGCCGAGCTCTAGAACTAGATATGAAGGATAAAGATTCTCTAACATTTGTTAGATTAGCTTAAATATGTTCAATTCATGCCTGAACTACTAAATTGATTATGTGAAACGCACACCGCTGATGAAAAATTTCTCCCTCAAACGCTGGTTTCAAACTATGTTTAAACATTCTAATTGTTGTCATGTTAGCTTATGCATTATCAAAAGTAATAGTTAAAACTTTATCTTCTATCCCATAAAATCCAAAAATTTCCATTATTGTACCAAAAATAGCTGATGCGATATGAGGATATAACCATAAACGAAAGCATATTATTCACTTCTATAAAACCCATTCATTATCAAGATAATGCACTGTGACGCATAAATATCAAGTTTCATTGCACCCCTCTCATAGATCAAAAGTACAAGATACAGTAGCATTAAAAGTTCTAAAATGATTGTCACATTACATAAAACACTTGCATGCAATCAGAACGAGTTATGTTTCTACTTAATCGTTTAAATTACGGGCAGAAGACCGTCTGTATGAAGTCTTTGAACGATGCATCATCTGCAAAAGAAAGAGGTAATTCGGCACTAGCTAAAAATTTAGCTAGTGCCTCATGAGCACATTGTGCATCGTATGTAAAATTTTACAACCCTTGTGATGTGAGTGATACTGTTTGTTGGCGGGAGTCCACACTCCCACCTTGGTGCAACGGTAGATATGCTTTCTAATGTCTATCTAGATGACTAGTAGCCCTACCTTTTTTATTAGAAAAGTATTTTTTACAATACTTACTGTAAAACCCAAAATTTATTTGGGGTCAATTTGTAATTTTTAAAGACTTAAGTGTGAAAATTTTAGAAATTTGGGCCAGAATTCGAATTTAAGAGAAATATGGGGGTCAAAAATGAAAATTTTGACAATCAGCAAGACCAACCTGTCATTTAGTGCCACTTGGGCGTGTTCCTCATCCTCACCAATCAGAAAACGCTCATTTTCCCTATCTTCATTTTCTCTCATTTTCTCTCCTTTTCTCCACGCACGGCCGACCCACCTCCGGTGAGATTCCGGCGTCCATTTTCGATACCTCCTAGCTCGTTGGAAAGATCGCGTCGAGCTGAGTCCGGATTGGTGTCTTCCAGCCGCCAACTCCGCCGGACGACGCCACACTCGGCGGCCAAAGGTACAAAATACACCCAAACTTCCGATCGTGATATATGCGCCGTCCGGTGTCCGATTGAGGTGATTCCAGTCCCAATAGACTCAGAGCAAAGAGATGAAGAAAACCGTACCAGTAGCACAGCTTGATTCTGATCGGAGTGCCACCGTCCGTGGTGGTCAGATTTCTCACCACCGTCGCCCTCGTACCTCCCTCCTCCGGCTGCCGTGAACGACACCGCCCAGCTCATTAGCTTCAGAGGGAGCCGATGAGTCGTTCTGGGCCACCAGCCGTGGTCACCGCCGTTGGTTTGCCGGAAAATGAGCTGCCGCCACCGTGAGAAAAATGGGAGGATGGTTCCGGTGATCTAGTCGTTGGATCCTTGTGATCTTGGTGTCAAAATACTCAGAATCTCATGGATAATGAAAGCCTCAATCAATTTTGAAGATCTGTGGCTGAAAAACAAAGATTCAAGACTCAAAATTCGGCCGGAATTGAGGATCTTGATCCGTGTTGTTAGAGGCCGAATTTGGTAAAATTGACATCGCCATTGGATTCAGAACTATTGATTTAGGGGGGGTAGGACCCAAGTCCGCCGCGGGATTCTTCACCGGGAAGCTCCGCCGTCGTACCGCCGCCGCCGGTGGCCAGATTCCGGTGAAGCTTCGTTTCTTAGCTTCTTGACTTCCGATTGACGATCCGTTTTGAGGTAGGGGTCCTATTACTTAACTTTTGTGGAATTTAATTTAATTTAATTTATTTTGTTAAATTTGAGAAGATTGAAATTGTATATCAAACTTATTTATTACTGTTATACGATATGACTTGAAACAGAACCATTAGGGGGCCTGTCCTGTAATGTACAGCATGGCCAAGAGATTTTGACATAATTTTGGAATCTGACACAAAAGCATGGTTAGGAGAATGTAAACCGGACACGATAGTGAGATAGTGTGCTAACAGTAGGTGTGGCCGTTCACCATCCCTGGGTGTGAACCCGAAAAGGTAAAAGAGGGGAGGGGTGATGACGCTCTCCGGGGTTGAGAATCCCCAAGGTTACTGTACAGTGGTTGCGTCTTGGTGAGGGCTCAGAACGACAGTTCACCCTTGCCCGTGGTTCGAGAACTGATCCGGTAGGGATGCCGAGATAGAGCTCCTTGCTATAAGTGCCTCTGAATCACCGCGCCCTTCGGGGGTTTTTCATCACGAGCGGACGGATTGGGTTATCTCACTGATACTGATCATCTGACTCATTATACATAAAACATAAAAACTACTAACCATGCAAGTTTAGTTGGAAAACTAAATAAAACTAAAGGTGAGTAATATTCCTCCTACTGAGCATTTCATGCTCACCCCTTTTCTCTTCCCATCCCCAGGTGGTGTGCAGTGTAATCTTTCAGACGAGGAGTAGACGTCTCACAGTGTGCATGTGTTGGAGACCTATCCCTTCTTTTGGTCTTCTTCTTTTATGTAAGATTCTGACTGGGTTGTTTTCAACATGGATGTGACTGATGATGGTTGTATTATTTTAGTATTTTACTTAGTGCTACATTGTACTGTGAATTTCTGGTTTAATTTTCTTTGTCGAGTTGTGTTTTTAATCATGAGTTTTTCGTTAAAAGTCTCATGGGCACTTGTCGTTTATATTTCAGGAGTTATATTTTATTTTTATTTTTGTGAAATACTGCCATGCAAGAGAAGTTTACGGTCTTTTTCCCTTACTACATTCTCCAACTTCCTCGGTGTGCACTGAAGTATTATCATCCGAAGCATTTTCTGCTTCCGTAGGGGGGGAGGCATCATTTTATCCTCGAAAAATGGCTCATCACCAAGCTCGGGAAGAGCAGTGAAATCGGGAAAGTATGATGCGACCATTTTTAGGAAATTAATTGAACTTAAACTTTGTAATTGAAAGAGCAAGAAAATGAGTGATCACGAGAAAAAAGATTAGAATCAAAATCAAAGAGACAAGAAGAGAGATAGAATGCGAGTGACATGAGAAGTTGAGAGTGAATTATTGTGTGAGATTTAGGGTGGGATTAACGGGTATTTATAGAGAATTTTGGGGGTTTTTTCAGATTGTGACCGTTAGGCCTTTTGCGGGCCCAACGGTCGGCCCGTGATGGGCCTAACGGGAGGCCCGTCATGTGCCAATCGTTGGGCCTGTGAAGGGCCAAACGGTCACAATCTGAACGGGCTAGAGGGCTTTTCAGTGGCCTGTTTCATGGGCTTGGGCTGGGCCAAACAAGGGCCGAATTCGGGCTTCGGCCAAACTGAGCTTGGGCCGGGCCGCAGGCCTTCACAGGTCATATACGAGAGAATTATCTAAATACAACTTTCAAATCCGTTCAAAGTTTAAAATATCCTTGAATTCCTCATAGCGTCATATACTGAGGAATTCTCCAAAAGTAAAATTGAAATTCGAGAACTATAATTGGCTTTATTTCCTATTGGATACGTAGGCAACTTAAAATTTAGGTGCAATTTTAAGATCAAATTAAATCCTAAAAATCCTCATAGAAGCAAAATCAAATTTTAAAGTGCTTTAATTCCTCATAAGATCATACACCGGGAAATTATCTAAACTCTTCAATTCTAAATTTTGAACTACAAGTGGCTTGATCCTTCAATGGGGTATGTAGGCAACTCGACCAAATTCATTGTGCTCAATCCTAATTTTAAATCCACCCAAATTTTCTAAATTCACAAAAAATAGAATTTGAGATTTTAATTGGAATCAAAAGGCGTTCTCTTATACCCATAGATTGTAATTAAGAGGTTATTTTTATAATTTTAAATGTGTCGAGCTTAAAATAATAAATTCCTATGCTTATTCAATCTTAGTACAGGTGAAATAGTACATGTGAAATTACGTTGTGTGTAAAATATTCTTAAATATTTTTTATCAACAACATGATACTTATTTTCGTTAGAAAAAAAAAAGAAAAAAAAAAAAAGAGATTGTATTGTCCAGCAAGAAGAAACAGCTGAGTCTAATTCGACCAACTCGATTTCATTGTTGACATCAACAGAGGTGGTAGCCTGAGGATGAGACTCCGTCGACGCTGCCAATCTCAAATCAGTGAGATAATACAAGATCAAGCAAAATATAAAATTACCTGCACTCTGCCCTGTCATTACCCAACAATACTTATCGAAACGGCTATCGTTTAGGTGGTCTTCGAACCAGCTAGTATCGTCTCCCCAAGCACTGATGTGACGAGCTAAATAAACCGACAAGATACTGCCAATGGTTCCAAATCCGTAAGCAAAACCACCCATAAACTGGTTGCAAGAGTTAGGGGCCGGATCACTGAAGAATAGATCAATGCTTTCCTCTACAATTCCATCAAGCCCCCCAAGGAGTAGGTATTGTGGAACCAACGAAAACATAGTCAACGGAACTGTGTTATAGGTGACGTATAACATATGTTTCTCGACTTCATCTAGTCTACGAGCCTCCATTGTAGCGGCAGGAATACATCATAGTGCAGCAAAAATTGTTGATATTAAAATCCCATGAAAGCCTGCAGACTTTGATCTCGCGTTGCCATAAAATTTATCTGCTATTTTCGAATAAGATTTGGCGATAACCGCTTTTGCAAGTAGACAAAACAGTTGAAGGATTTGGAGAGGAACGTCCCAGTTGCCAATCATGGGATTCATTGTTTCTGCTTGTTGAATGAAGTAAGTGTCTCCAAGAGAAGATATGATTCCAAGCACGAAGAAGGCTATGCAAAAGGGAATTCCGCATATGGCTTTTTTGGCTTCTTCCACTTCTTCAACCGTACAATGCTTCCACCTATTTATTTCTAACTCCGGATTATGATTTGATAAATTATAATTTGTAGCTCTATGTAGGCACCTGCATTCATTAGTACAGTTGATTAATTAAGCGGTTAAATTTACGATTAATTATCAATAAAATTGTGCTGGTGCTTGAACAAATTGTGAACAAAATTTTTGTAATAATCTTCACGTATGGTTGTGATTGAGAGAGAAATAGAGCACAAGTTACCTGAGGTGAGAACTACGAACAATTGATCTATCATCTTCTCTCGCATTCGGCTCAGCAGAGTTTGTTAAGTTTTTATCGAATGTTCCTAAAAAAGAAGCAACAAGGACCCTCAACACAGTAATTACGGGTCTTTCTTTGGGTCTTTCTGTGGAAGCATGCGATGACCTAAAGCGGCCTCTCCAGAAGATAATTGTTGCTACCAGCATACATATTGCCGGTATTCCAAATCGAAGCGGCCATGAATTTATGTAAGGAATTGCGAGAGCTCCAACCAAATGAATAATGATCGTCAAGACAACTTTTAAGGTCTTCGACAATCTCGATAATTGTTTTCCCTCTT